TGCAACGATCCAATGTTCTTTTTTATTGAAATCCTACAACGACAAAAATTTACAGCAAATGCCTTGCAACTTTCAGACTGACTTTCAAATTTTGCGACGTTACCGAGGGAGGGTAATCTTTTTATTGGAAAGTTTTCTACGACAAATGTTTTCCAACATTTTTCCGACCTACTTTATATTATATTATTAATTAACTATTCTGCGAAAATTTGAAAAGAAAACCCAAACTTCAAATTATTTTCTTCAGATACGTGCATTACCAGCAATTAGCCAGATTTTTTTTGTTCTTGCAATTACTATGATAAAAGCGTACAGATATTTTTATATAATATAACAGCAGAAAATCATTGTATATTAGAAGAATCATTACATATAATTATTTTTGTCACTTTGTCCTAAATGTAGTTCTTCTCAGTTTCTACGATGACACAAAGCTTTCTATGACATTATTTGACCAGAGTATGATACACGTTACACAAGGAGTTGCCCACAAATAAATAAATAAAACTGTAAAACTTCTGAAAAAACGGATTTCAAAACAGATCACTCGCGATGCTGAAGAAAGACGTAAATTATATAGTTAACTAGGGTTTTTTTTATGTTCCCACTGTCAGCTTTCTAGGGAATATACTTTTTCACTTTCTCATATTCCCACAAAAATATTCCAAGTCCCTTGTTTCTCGAGCTATTATGGAGAAATATTTGAAATAAACGCTAGTTTAAAGGCACAGAAAGAAACATGTATATATTTTGCTTGCGTTTGTAATTTTGATTTCTACTTTACCGATGCACCGATTACCAATTGAGATATACGTCTGTAGATGGCAGCATCTCACAATTATTTACAAAATTCCCAATAAATACAAATTTTCCGGAAAAATCTGCATTTTCAAACAGATAAATCATGAAATTCACTCGGCATACATTGCTTTGGTAACTTTCATAAGCCCTTGCCAAGCATCGCATTATTCCAGTATACAAAAAAAGAAAAAACTGAACATATGATGAGATTAGATTTTATTTATAAAAACCAGTAAATTATGTTAATATATTAAAAATATGCAAAGCAAACTTGGTGCATAAAACTGTTGTCTTCATTAATGTTAATTTATGAAAATGTTCATAACCTGCATGTACGTAGAATAAGTCTATAAACTGTTACACAATAATATTCTAATACAAGAGTTGTCAAAAAATCTTTTTAAAGAATTACAAAATAGTTCTGTATAAACTATTAACTACACATAAATTATTTATGCAAAATCAATTACAACAGTAAAAATTTAAATATAAACACTTTGCATCATCAGTTCTTTACATAAATACAAAAAAGTTTAACCGATGCTATTTGAAGATTGGAAATAATTTGTTACAACTTAATGTATCCATTTATGCAAACTTTAACCAAGATATTTAATATTATAACCAAGATATTACAATACTGTTTAACATTTAGGCAAAAGCTAATTTGAACTTCACTTATTAATGAAAGTTACAAAATCGTTCTGATGATTTATACCCATATATATATATATATATATATATATGTATGTATATATACTTAAACCCAATATATATTTTCTGTACAACCTGATAATAGAAAATATTCTTTTCTAATATATGTCAATACCTTGTATATCATCTGTATCATTCATTAAAGTTATGATAAATATTAAACAAATGGTTTAGTTACTGCTAACAACTGGTGTACGATTATGTCAATACATTCTGTATTTATTATAAAAAGAATCTTTGAATATTTATTGATCATGGAAGATTGTTTTTCATATTCACTCACCTACACACACATACACACACACACACACACACACACACATATAGAAGAAACTTGATATCAAACAGTTTAACCTAATACTGTGTGAGACTCCTTGAAAGGTTAATTGTTTTCAAAATCGAGTTAAAAAAAATCGATTCTTTCTCAAAATTGTTATTCCTCTCAACAGACACAGACACGAGATGTAAGTCCTGTGTGTCATGAGACAAAATTAATGAGAAAAAGAAGAAAAAAGAAAGAAAAAAAAATGACCGTGACAAAGAATTGCTCGTCAAATTATTAATTAGTAAAGAGTATGAAAAGACAGAAAGAAATAGGCGGAAAGAATAACGATGTCCAAATGAAAATAAGACCTGTCATTTTCGATACTTCCTCGGGGGAACAAGATCAATATACATATCTCGTGAAACGAAGGAATCGTTTCACACGCTCGTCCGATTTATTCGGTTTTGTGAAAAAATATCTCGAACTGCTTAAAAGGTACACAAAACGCTCGAAGCTTCGAACGAACGAAAGTGAGAGCTTTTTTTTTCTAAAATCGTGAACGCCTGCCGTGTGTGTGTGGTACGTACATGTGTACATACGCACGCGCGTGCATGTGCAACCGTAGTGCCCGCGCGCGCGCGCGTGTGTGTACGTGCATGTGAAGGCCATGTTAACAGACTGTAAGTCAACGGATGACTTCTGTTAACGATAAAGGAGTAGCGAAATCTACTTACGATTCTCACCGGCTTCTCCGCGGCTCCTACAAAGCTTCCCCGTACAATTACTTCACTTTCCACATTATTACGTCCACGGTGTGAAAAAAAAAGGAACGGCGAGTGAACGAGTTTGATCAAAAGCACAATTTTCGTGACGTCATCGGTGGCCGGGCATGCGCAAACCGATTTCGGTGTTTTTCCATTTACCGCGGAAACACGTGTGGCGAGATGTGTCGCTTGCCTTCTCCTCGTCGTCGTCTCCGTCTCCGTCGTCTCTGTCGTCGTCGTC